ATGGGGTGGAGTGCAGGCGCGCTGTGTCGCTTGTGTTGGTCTCTCCGCCTGGGCAGAGCGATGCCACACCCTGCGCTCGTGCTGGCACCTCCAATCCATCCGTGGACACCAAAGCTCTTGGTTAATAATCATTAAATTAAATTTGTTTATGATAAGCTTTAAGAATCGGGATTTGGCTGGAATAAAGATTGGCTTCCTTGCCATACCATACATTTGAGAACATAACCTTGGTTCATTATAGTCGATGTTCTAACTTGTCTGAATGATATATGTACTTCAGGCATCTACAGCAATTCAAATGTTCAAGGACAAAGGGGCCACATTGCAATCTCAGTCCTTGATTTTTAGCAACAAGGCATGGAGAGGCTCAAGACTCTCTAATGTACAGCCCATGCATAGCAAAACGAATACAAACCTTTTGCTCTTGTACCACAATTTCTCGCATGCACACCATAGCCCTCACCTTGGCTCACCTCAAACCCATATTTTAATTACCACTAATGGCTCGTTATTTTTGGTTTGCTTAGATATATTTAGAATATGCTTAGATATTCTAAGATATTCTACCATTTAACAGTTGTTATTCATTTAAATAATCTTGTATTTATAATTTATAAACATTTAAAAACCCTTTCTAGTATATTCATTTTTATTCTATCATCTAATGGTTTTGTGTTCATAAATTACAAACATGCTTATAATTATAAACTTTATTTTGGATTAATAAGTAATAATAAAACTACTATTAAGTAAACCAAGCATTGCTACTCTCAGTTCAATGAGACAAAGTTTAAGAAATGTCATTTCTAATCAGTGTTTAATGTTAATTTTTTTATTAAAAAAGTAACCATTTTGTTGAGGTACCCCTCTTTCTCATTGTTGCCATCTTCTGGATTTTCATAAAACCACTACAAGGAGTTAGGGTTTGGCGTTCTGTCTTTTAGGTTTTGTAACAAATTAGTGTATTTTCCATTTGACAGAATATTTGGTCAACAGTCGTTGCTATATGTGCGGGCCCCATGAATTGCAACTCACACTTTTTACATACAAAATTCATATTAACCTTTAAGTTAAAAGGATCCACATTGACAAATTTGTAACAACCTCAATGGAGGAGAACTCTCAGAAGGGAGACACCATTCCCATCATTTCTCCTAATACACAATGATTAGCATTTTAACATTAATGTCTAATAGTATGCAAATGTCTCAATCTAGACAAGTCATTAGGTGCTACCTTACATAAGTATATTAGAATATAAACCACCGTGATATATCAGAAACTAAATTGCATAAAAAATAATAAAATGAAAGCAAACCACGTTCACAACAAATTATTAATACTAATGCCTCTTTTTTTAATTAAATTATTTGATTTTTAAATTGTGCTAGAGTTTATGGTTCATGCACCTAAGAAAAATGTTACTTTCTACATGAAGATGTCTACATATTTATCTATGAAGAATGAGATTAGAAATAGATAGAAATGTTTCCTTATGAGATTATAGGGTATTATTTGAATGCTTACAAATAAAATATAAGCTTGATTCTGTTAATAAGTTTTTAAGAAAACCTTTTCTGATTTCAAAGGGTTTTTTTTAATTGTATTTTATTTGTGTCTTTTTTATTGTAAGGCTCTACTTTAAACTTCATATTCTTATTATCTTAATACAGTAGAGCTTTGCAAAATATCAACGGTATATAGTAAGAGATCTTTGTCTCCTAGCATAAAGGATCTTAGTCAAACTTCACTTTCCAGGAAGGACTCGGGATTTGCCTGCTTCGCTTCCTTGTTATAGAAGAAAAAGGCCTCGGGATTAGCCTGCTTTACTTCCTTGTTATAGAAGACGAAGGACTCAGGATTTGCTTGCTTTTCTTCCCTATTTGCTTGCTTCGCTTCCTTGTTATAGAAGACGAAGGACTCTGGATTTGCCTGCTTTACTTCCTTGTTATAGAAGACGAAGGACTCGGGATTTGCCTGCTTCACTTCCTTGTTATAGAAGACGAAGGCCTCGGGATTAGCCTGCTTCACTTCCTTGTTATAGAAGACGAAGGACTCAGGATTTTCTTGCTTTTCTTCCTTATTTGCTTGCTTCGCTTCCTTGTCATACAAGAGGATGGACTCGGGATTTGCCTGCTTCGCTTCCTTGTTATACAAGAAGAACGACTCGGGATTTGCCTGCTTCGCTTCCTTGTCATACAAGAGGATGGACTCGGGATTTGCCTGCTTTGCTTCATTGGTGTACATTACCTCTCCAGGCACTTGCTTTTCATTGTCCTTGAGTGTACGTAGTGCTGCAGCTGCCTGAAGTACATATATCATTCAGAAAACTTAGAAGCAGAGATTGATCTCACCGTGAAAAACAAGAAGACTGTA